GTTCCTGCGCACCGCTCACGCGATCTATATTGCGCACACGCGCTTCCCCGAGGCGTTGACGCTTGCTATTCGCCTCGGTAGTCCCGAACTTATACGCGAGGACTTCAATGCAGCCGGGAACCCGCTCATGAAGCGTCAGCTTGCGCTGATTCTTGCGCGTGCGCAGATCCCCGCGGAATGGTTGTACTCGGAGGACGACGAGCTACCTGATGACCTCATCGAGTGTCTCAGCAACACGAAGCTAAGCCAACGTTTCCGTGACTTTGGTAAGGAACTTGACGTGCTGGAGCCCAAGTCGCTGGAGGACGTGTACAAGTCACATCTGGAAAACGTACGGACGGCACCTTCAAACGTTGACTCCGCTCGTGGCAATCTGGCTGGCACTTTTGTGAACGCGTTTGTTAACGCCGGATTCGGCAATGATAAGCTGATGGTCAATGCGGAGGAGGGCAGCAGCTGGATATACAAGAACAAAGATCACGGCATGATGAGCGCCGCCGCGTCGTTGGGCCTCAGTCTGTTGTGGGATACGGACGTTGGTCTCAGCCATGTCGACAAGTACACGTACTCAGAGGTGGAGTTCATCAAGGCTGGTGCTTTGTTCGCGACGGGCATCCTGAATTGTGGTGTGCGAACTGAAGCCGATGCGGCGCTCGCTCTTCTCGGCGAATATGTTGACAACAAGTCAGTGTCATTGAAGACAAGCGCGATTATGGGACTTGGTCTGGCGTATGTGGGCTCGCAACGGGAGGATATTCTTGGCTTACTCTTACCTCACGTATCCGACGACACGGTGTCCATGGAAATCGCGAGTCTCGCCGCACTTTCCCTCGGCTTCATCTTCGTCGGCAGCGAGAATGGCGAGCTGACCAGTACTATTCTGCAAACTTTAATGGAGAAGGCTGAACGTGGCGACAAATCCTTGGATGAGAAATGGGCGCGCTTTATGGCGCTAGGCCTTGGCCTGATTTATCTAGGTGATTTGCCCTCTTCTCCAGGCTTTTCCAGACGCGTGACATATCAAATTAGGACTGCAGGACGCATCAGACGCGACGATTGAAACCCTAAAAGCGATTGACCATCCCATTGCCAAGACAGCACAAATTATCGTCGAGGCATGCGCATATGCAGGCACGGGCAATGTTCTGAAGGTCCAGACAATGCTTCATTACTGTGACGAGCATATCAACAAAGACTCTAGCTCTGGCAAGGAGGGGAGCTCAGAGACCAAAGAAGGTGGTGCCGCTGTTGGTTTAGGCGCCGCTACTGGTTTAGGCGCCACTACTGGTTTAGGCGCCACTGCTGGTCCAGGTGCCGCCGCTGGTTTAGGTGCCGCCGCTGGTCCAGGTGCCGCCGCTGGTTCAGATGCCGCCACTGGTTCAGGCGCCGTTGCTGGTTCAGGTATCGCTGCTGGTCCAGGTGCCGCCGCTGGTTCAGGTGCTTCAGGTGCTCAAGCTGCGAGCGATAGCGGTAGTGGCAACGGATCAACGGATACCTCTAAAGAGGGCGATAAAAAGCCAAAGGACGACTTGTTCCAGGCATTCGCTGTTATGGGCGTCGCATTGATCGCCATGGGTGAGGAAATTGGTGCTGAGATGTCACTACGACAGTTCAATCATCTGGTTTGTAGCGTCTCGCCTGTCTACCCTGTTTTCCATCTAATCATCATGTACTAGATGACATACGGAGAGCCCGTGATTCGACGCTCGGTACCGTTGGCCATTGCTCTTGTCAGCACGTCTACGCCTGCTCTGCCTATTCTGGACACCCTCTCCAAATACAGCCACGACAATGACCTTGCTGTCGCCCTCAACGCCATACTTGCTATGGGCATTGTCGGTGCTGGCACAAACAACGCACGTCTGGCTCAAATGCTGCGGCAACTTGCAGGATACTACTACAAAGAGCCTGACTGCCTCTTAATAGTGCGCGTTGCACAAGGCTTGGTACACATGGGTAAGGGCACCATCGGCCTAAACCCATTCTTCGCGGATCGCAACGTCATCAGCCGGACAGCGGTCGCTGGTCTCCTCGCCACATTAACGGCATTTACCGATGCCAAGGGTTGTAAGTCCGACTCTTCTTATCTCACCTCACAAACTAATCTTATTACGAATCAATGTTCCAGTCGTCCTCGACAAATATCATTGGATGTTATTCTTCTTGGTAACCGCTATGTATCCACGGTTCCTGATCACACTGGACGAAGATCTGAACCCTCTCCCGGTGACCGTGCGCGTTGGCCAGGTAGGTCGAATTCATTTGGTTTGAATGTTGCAGGGAATAATTGTATCCTACGTCAGGCTGTCGATGTCGTTGGCCAGGCCGGAAAGCCTCGTACAATATCCGGCTTCCAAACACATCAAACACCGGTACGGCTTGGTACCACGGAGCGCGCAGAATTAGCAACAGAAGAATATATACCGTTTGCACCTGTGCTGGAGGGCTTCGTGATACTACAAAAAAATCCAGGGTGGGACACGGAGGACAAGATGGAGTTGTAGATACAATATTGCACCGTTTACACGATCCCCTAATATATTGTTACGCATGCGGCACGAGATAACAATACCACATCTGCGAAGACGGGTTAAAGAAGGCGGTGAGTGGGTGGTCCAAGTTTTCACAGAGGGCGTAGACGAAAACCTCGTAAATACTCATAATCCCGCATAGCGGCTAGTGCGGCGACCTCTATTGCTTTCGCAGTGTCCACGCCCCACTCCTTTACCCATATCTGATATTCTGCGGCCAGCTTGGGTTGCTGTCTTCGCTTTTAGAGCTGTGAATATACGGTGTCAGAATTACAAAAAACAATTCGCACCTGGTTGACGCCGGAAGTGGATGCAGGCACATGCGTCGGAAACATGTCAGGCGTCCAAGTATAATCCACCTCTCCTTCATCGATGCCAATATGTACACACAACGCACGCATTACGCCTCTCGTGTTGGCGATCATATCGTCGCAATCCACGACAAGCGGACGCGTGGCGCTCGGGCCCCGCGCAGTCATATACGCTCTGTAACAGTCGAACACTTCGCGTACCCACCGGTATGTACAGTACACGGCCCACGCGGGCTCATCGACGGAAAGCTGGAGCGTGTCCGGCCGCGCCGCCACCTTGTGCCAGGACGGGATCATACGCGCTGGATGGCGGATTGAAAATATAGGAGTGAAAGACTTGAGAAATCGATCAGGCAGGAACGTAGGGTTGGGAATTGGCAGGGGTATAGTGTTGTCTTTGAACGTGTGGGCAGGTACGTCGAGGTGGCGGTCTTCGACGACTGGTGTTCGCAATATGAGACCCGGGGGTGCGGTTGGGCAATATTTCTTGTATACCCCTGCCTTCATCCAAAATGCCTGTTGTCTTTCAATGAGAATGTTTGCAAATTTGTGGAGCATTCTTTTCCAACGCACTGGATGGTCTGCTATGACTGGTATTTTCCCCTGAAGGCACGATGAAGCTATAAATCAAATTGGGAAAAGAATAAGGTTAAACGTGCGTTTTTCTCAGCAACATGTACACGTTCTTCAGCTCGATCCAAGGAAGCTTGGGCCGATTTCGCGACGTAACATGGTCGTTTGTTTCTGGCAATTATCTTGTCTTCGCCCAGGGCCAAATCAAGCCTGAAGTTGAGCATGAGCGTCCATTTCGATCACATGATGGTATTTGGGTGTACCAGAAAGGATATGCAATGGGCTCCAAGTCCGGATGTCTGCCCAACAAACGAAGCAGTAAATGTGATCCCTGCCGCGCCGTAAATTTCCAACTGCATATGAACATCCAATAGGGCCGGACTGTGCAAAATGCTTACCGTACGTGGGTGACTGAAGAGAAACAACCGCAAGCCGGGGCGACGACGGTTGTTGCTCATTATGATGAGAATGAGGACAAAAGTGGGCTCTGCAAAGTTCGCGTACGTCCGTTTTCAGCGTCTGCTTTTCCGTCGCATGCCGTTCAGTTACGCCAGTACGCCGGGTTATTGAGACTTCTTATCGTCAGTTGTGTCGAGAGAGGCCAGCACGCAGGCCTGACGTGATGATGACTTCAATGGACAAGTGATTTCAATTGTATATCGCGTATTTCAGCTGCCTAATAGACGCGGAATAAGTAGACTTTGATAACTGCCATGTACTAGTGATGGTCTCACCATTGCGCGATATAGAGTAAACCTGCTGTAGGTAACTGCATGGGAATAATTCCCCGCATATGACCGCGACCTGATACTGAACGATACCGCCTGTTTACCTCGAAACGGTGTTTAAAAGACCGTGATATGCATATGCACTAGTGGTGCCAAGATAATTGTGCAGATGTCAATTTCATGTTGGAATTTGCTCGGCCATTGTGAGTTGGATAAAATGGAATTGTGCCTGTAGGCTGTTACGGTCCGCCTCTGCACGCAACTGAAAGAAATGCAACACGATCCGCTTTCTGATCACCCCACAGTCTGTATAACGAAGGCTTCGAGTTGAATCTCACAGGTCGTCGTACAAGCTAGATCATAAGTACTGAGGCGCCACCGAAACGCGTCGCCTTAGGCACGTTTCCAGAGTCAAGACTGATAGCGGCTAATGTTGCCTCAAAGCACTCTAGGGTGCAACAGGACTGACAGATAACCAACCGCTGAAGGAAGTTAGACATGGATTGGGCTCTCCTGATCAAATGAAACGAGTGCGCGCGACAAGATAGCCCAAGATGGAAGTGGTATCGTAGAAGTCCATGAGCCATCAGCTTCAGGTTCAGCCACACGAGATAATCCAAATGATTCCCTTTCAATAGGCAGGAAAAAAAACATGATGCAAATGATAGAGCAATGCTGACTTCCATTGTAAAAGTTGAGAAACATCTTGAGTCAGCCAGGCGTGAAGCTTGCAACCGAAGTCAAAGTCAAGACGCAGTAATTGAAGTCTGCATGTTCAGGAAATCATCGATGAACGCTGAGCTCTGAATCATTGTTCTCGTTGAGTGCTTTTGCTGCCAAAATATGTATATACACAATGGTTCAGCTGAGGATCGAACTCAGAACCTTCTGTGCACTGTCTACTATAGTAGAATGTGAGACAGAAATCATAACCATTAGACCACTGAACCTTGTAGCTGACGACATGACCCGTCTTTACTAGTAGTACGTTGCTGTATGAACACACCCTTGTGCCCGACGACGCTGTTTTCGTAAACCTGAGGCACGGCCAATCCCATTTAGCTGCTGAAATCGCATTTTCTCGGATTGCATCGCAATGAAGCGTCGCTCTTAATCCAGGTCTACATACAGTCATTTCACGGATCCTGATTGCCAACCGTTCATAGTGCGTATGTGATTTAAACTCCTCTTCGAACAGCAAAACTCTCCAGATCTTGAGGAGTCGCGACGCCTAATACAAACTTGCGTTCGTTGTCAGTGACTGGTAGAGTGCAAGTCAGAAGACAAACGGTAGAATGGGTGGTTGATCTTACTGAGAGCAAAGATATTGTGTTCCAGAAACTCCTCGAGTTCAGCTAGGGGTGTCATAGGTGTAATCACAGTATAAGGCGCGCCGGAACGCTTGAATTTGGTCATGCAAGCGGCCACCTTATCGTCCTGTCGACATGTCCAATGAATGATGCGATCTAAAAGTGGCTCGGAGAAGATGTGCTCACTGGGTTTGCTTCCCCTCGCTCGAATTTCAGCTTCAACTGGGAACACCAAGGGCGATTCAGGGAGCAGTCATATACAGCACTACACAGACACATACCGTGGCCACATCAATGTAACCTATTGGTTTACGCGAGGAATTCAGTACCGGGATATGGGAGAAATCACGGTCATATGCGAGGTCGATAGCGCGGGCTATTGCTTCATCCTCCGGAAGTGCAAAGGCGGGTGGTAGTTGTAAGTCCTGCGCCGTATCGAAGATCCCTTTGTTATACTAATGTCGTCACGAACGATGATAGGTACATACCTCCACCACGGCACCACGATACTTGTCCCCGCCGCCGTTAGACATTACCGAAGGCAGGGGATACGCTGATACGAGAGATGCCATGAGTTGCGTTATCGTTGGTGGAGAAAAAAAAGAGAGAAGTACTTAAAAGTCATTGACAATGATCTCGGACACAACAGATCTCACGACAATGGACCGCATTTGTTATTCAAGTTAAGCAGTGTGCATCGGCGCAATGGTGGCCCTGTTTGCGTGTGCGACGTGATGTCCTTGATAGCGATCGGCGTTGAATTGGCTAGATATGGTCGTGGTAGCTGGCGCTTGTGCTTCCTACTTAAATTGCCGATGAACTTTCTTCCCTTCTCTTGTTTTACGAATGGTTCAGACAGTCTCGTAGAGGGGATACTTTTGAGAAATTAGAAACCAGGTCTGGTAGTAATTGCAAAATCGTGTTACTGAAGACGTCCGAATAATTGCATTCAAAATCCTGTGCACCGTACCTTATATCCTCACAAGAGAAACAAAATGGAAGTAAAAGCGTTGGCGATCAGCCGAGACGCAATGCACATTTTACATTTCAATCGGCTTGCTACCGACAAAGCAACTTCGTGAGAAAGTGCCATCCATTTCACGAAGTGTTATCAGGTGCGGCGTATCTGCTCTCGCCATGCACTAATGATCAACTCAGTTTTTGTTGAGTCTCGTCACACTCTCGACGTCCTTCCAGTTGCGCAACATAGCGCGACGAAGGCTCGCTGTGCCTTCATTGGCGCCGTCATACCGGTATGCGACTTCAGGATCTTTGGTCAGGTCTTCAGCCGTGCGGCGGTCTGCGGGCGCGAACGGTTGATTCCACGGACTGAAGACATAATCCGCGGGTTTGGGCACGGTATGCTAGAATAAAAAAATAAATATAGATAACTAAAACAAGAAAGAAAGAAAGAAAGAAAATAGCGTACCGCTGTAATTTCATGCAGCTCACGGTGAATGTCGTTACAGAACTGATCAAGATCTGTGGCGGGTCAGAAGAAATAGAGATGAAGTCAAGGGTACCGGCTACTCGCCAAGGTCATTTAGATCGTAGTTGAACGGATTTTCACTGGCGTCCACCGTTTGAATCATTTTGATTGTCAGATTTGTGTGTTAAAAGGTCCACTCACATCTCCTGTCCAATTTCAAGGAAGCCTAGTAGGAGGAAGGATGCGAAAGCCGTAGCGGGAATGGTCAGATACCCGAAGGCGTCATAAATTTCGAACTGTGCAAGGAAACATTACAGTCTCACTTTTTTTCAAAGTTTCTTTCCCGACAACTCACCGGCAAAAACAGAAGATAGAGCCTGCATTACGAAATTGTCAAATGCAAAACTACAGGAACGATAAAATGAAGTACATGCCAGAGAGACATGCGTAAGTGTGCCTGGTAAGCAAAGGGCAGAGGCGTGTTCCGGACGCGATCCAAGTTCGACATCGTATCTTGCAGCGACGAGAGATTGGCGAACAGCGCCGACATTATCGGTGCTGGAATCAGGCTGTTTCCCACCAAGACTACGTATTCGCTCGACAATAATGAATATAAGACACAAGATAAAATAGTTCACGGACGTACAAGCAGCGTAGCTGGACAAAAACAGGCAAATTTCCACAGGGACATTACTGTCAGCCGCCTGTGGGATGACCCTGCGGCCAAACACGTCACGGCCACCGACGTTATGTGAGCGGATGGGGATCTTGCGCCATGCCTTACGGAACAGAAACTTGAAGAAGCGAAACACAGGCAGGTAGTCGTAGAACGAGGCCGGGGGTGGGTTGCGCGCGGGCTTGAGCGGGCGGTGGCTCTGCACGATGGGCAAAACGGTTTGCCGAGCGCTCGCATCATGACTTCCAGGCGTCGAGGTGCGGAACCACGAGGAGGAGGAGCGTTTGTTCTGAGTCTGCTTCTCCAGGTCATTTTCGTCGACAGTGTGCAGATCTTGTGTTGGCATGGAGGACGTGCGCTGCACCGTCGGCATTTCGGGTTTGTCAGTAGCGCTGCGGACATTTTTGTGGTGCGGCATTGGGTGCTGCCCGTCCTCGGACGCTTCCCACAGCGGCATGAGATCATGCGGGTCACCTGCAACAGATGCATAACGCGGCAGAAAACAGATGAGAGGGTACAGGTCTTGGTAATAAACGCCAGGCTCTCCGCGAAGAAAATGCTTCACAGCGACCGAGAACGCTTGGAGCTACGGACGGTTAGTCCCACGTGCAGGCACGAATGTTGCATTGTACAGTACGTACCAGATTGATCATCGATTTCTTCTCGATAGTAGATTTTAGCTCGGTCTGGATGACGACAGAGTCCTTGTTTTTGCGCTCGTTCGGCACGTAAATCCAAATCTGGAAGAAGGCAAGGGAGGGAATAAGTAGAATGTCACCGCCATAAGAGTGACCACATACAATTTCCGCGACATTTCGTGTAGCGATCGTGATGTTTGTCCATAATTTACGTCCATCTTGATATCTTTCCACAGTTGCAATTTGCGTCAAGTGCAAACGCTCTCGAGTACCCACCTTTCGTATGCCGATGATGTCCGGAAGGAAATAACGAGACCAAGGACCGTACCCAGGACCGTGAGCAGCTGCGTCGAGATTCCAAGCTGATGGTCTGTCTTTTCTGACACCAACGCGACCACTAGAAGGTCGGCACTGAGACCTATGTCCCGCCGCAACAGTACTAATTGCGCTCACTAGTAGCGATCAAACTAAAGAAAACGACTTCCGGCCAAACGTCGTTCACAATAGTTGCATTGAAGCGCCTGAGTGTCCAAACGCCGCGAAACAGAGGATTCGACGAGACCATGATGGAACACGAGGTTCGGGGCAGGATCGAGACGTGACGTAGCAGCTGTGGTGAAGAAGCCGAACAAAAAGCAGTTCTACCAAAGCAACGGAGACCCGCGCGATCGGGTCAATAGCAAAGTTCAACGAGTGTGGAGATGGAAGGATGTAGAGAGCCCTAACAACGCTGTGGTCGGTGGCACAAAGTATCGCAATCGTGGTCGAACATGTCCGGCTTTATATATCAAACCAGCCCCGCACTCGAGGCAGATGGGGACCCTTACCGTAGATCGGGTCATGTTGCACAAATGGGGACCTTTGCAACAGAGACGGGCCTGAGTGCGGTCGATTGGGACGCCGCGCCAGCAACGATCTGTGCCAAGAGCATGATCAGTTGTCAACACTCTTGGAAGATCAGTGAATGTAATTGATGGACTTTGAAATTTGACCGACCGTTCGACTTGACCTTCAAACTGCTGTCGGACAGCAACGGCTGATCATGATATTACAATTAACTGGCATGCCGTATCCGAAACGCCGTTCTATCGCTTTTTAGTGGCCTGCCAGCACAGGCTCGGAGTCGAATGCTGTGGCATAGCACACGACCATCGTGAACGTAGCGTGTGCGATTTCTGACGAGACCTCTAAGAGGAATGGTAAGGAATGAAGATACGTCCTCGTTATAAGGATGAGTAGTATTACAGGCGCGAATGCGCCTCAGTAAGCTATTACTGATTGAAAGCATGATACCAATGTCCTTAATGTCCGTTGTCCGTGCATGGAAGCAACATGGCTAGGGTCCTGTAAACGTGACTATCGAATACAATCAGTACTGAGAAGTAAAAGATCCAAGACGCACAGCTCACCTATCGTCTCATAAATTCATGGTTGTACATTGAATAAGATCATAGGAGATCACGCTATCCACGCCTGCAAGGTTTTCCACACAAGTTCTGGCCAAGGCAGGTAGACAGGTTCTGCATCCGCCTCAGCGTCAGAAACCCACGGGCCGCCGTGGTTAGGAGGCTTGCTCGCAGCATGCCTACTAAAGCGGTAAAATATACCCTCATCTATCCAGGCGTCGCTGAAGCGCTGCAGCGCCACTCCGTTTACCGACGTGCGGCTGAGACCCTCCGCCTCGAGGCGTGCATCAAGACGCCGCGTGTGCGCCACGTCCACACTCGCAGGGCCCGGAAGCGGTACGACGTACCGAGGAACATGCTGTCGCGCTAGATTGCCTGACATCCAAATATCATCGGCGAGATGGCCTGAAGCCGACATGAGGTGGAGCATGTTAAGTAGCTCAGCAGACGTCTCATAACTTATGCTCTCGCTCTCGATCGGCCGGCCGTTT